GTTGTGAATATAGAAAATAATTATGTGTACTAAGTTATAATTTGGACATGTCAAACAAAGTGGCCAAGCACAAATTATGAGGCCACTCGTACGAGTCCAAGAGTAAAAAGATCTTGAACATGTGGACGGAAAACGATGATCAAGTGGCAATTCAAAGAAATGAAGAAAAAGAGGAAAATTTAGAAATGGTCCAAAATATCAAATGGTAAAGAGTTGGAGACATCAAAGAAAAGTGACAAGAGAAGAGGATAATAGACGGGCAAAGTTATTTTGATCATGTCTATCGGGAAAAGGCGTCTTGGAGTCTATACGGTCACACGTGTTAGTGCGAAACTGTTGTAATAGANAATAATACAATACTGTAATACAGAGCAAGTGCGACAGCTGCTCATACATGTGCTTGTACAGGCAACCAACACAAATAATACGGGATTTTCTTTTCTCAAAATTATATTACTGGATCAATCATCAAGCGTACTTAAGTGTTCCACTCAATCTCCTTAATCTAGCCTCTCACGTTCAAGAATCTATAACAATCCATGAACCAACTACACCTTAGCCTCTTTGACAAGAATCTCTTACAAGACAACCCTTAATCCCCTTTGCTAAGACATATTGTTGACTAGAAGATCTTTTAGATGCACTTACAAATTGCACCTAAAACAACCTCTCTAGCCTCACTCCTCACTTGTTCATGGATTTATACACGATCCAAGAACCTCTCAAGACAAACCCTTAGCCCCATTGTTTTGTGTTCTTACAAGAACCCCCCCTCCCCCAAAAAAAACTTTTTACTAAGAATTCTCTCGCATCATGGGGGTTGACCTTACAAACAACCATGACTCTCAATTTATACATACACTACAAGAAAACAGGTCGTGAGTGACTCCAAAAATAGTCTCAAAACGGTCACAAAAGACTACTTTGCGACTACTTAATTAGTGACTGAATAAAAGAGTTGTTAAAAATCGGTCGCAAAATAAAATCGTCACAAAACAGTCACATATTACCGACTACATTGTGACCATATATTGTAGTCGCATATTTGCGACCACTTAAAGACGAAATACAGTAGTGGTAATTAAACGACTAAAGAGAGACTGAATATATGTGGCCGCGCATTAGAGACTGCTTTGAGACGCAGAGGTTGGTCGTACATTTGCGACATTTTAAAGACTAATAGTGGAGTGGCTAATGAACTTTTGTAGTCGCAAGTTGGTCGTTAAAGTGTCACCCATTATAATGTAAAGGGCACTCTATTTTTGGTTTGGTCAATGAAAGAGTCACAAAGTGGTCACAATTTTGCAACGCTTTTGTGACTG